TCATCATCATCATCATCATCATCATCATCATCATCATCATCATCATCATCATCATCATCATCATCATCATCATCATCCCCCTCCCCCTCCCCCTCCTGCATCTGGGGCGGGAGGGCCGTCCTGCGCTCGTCCCGGTCGGCGCTGGGCGCGGCAGAGTCGCGGCCCCGCCCGACGACGAAGGCGTCCTGCGCGGGAGGGGCACCAAAGGGCCCTCCTGCGGCGGGCGCACGCCGCAAGAACAGGTGTTGCTAGAAGTGCCCCTGGCCAAAGGTGGCCAGGATTTTCGGGGAGGCCCCCACGGCCTCCAGAGCACCCCTCACGAGGCCCAGAAGGCCCCGGGGGCTCCAGAAGGGAGCGAAAAGCTGGGGGTACCTTGAGCCAGGGGTACCTCTAGCAGCCCCCGACAAAGACGAGGACGGCGACCGGTTTCTGACCAGCGTGGGTCACTCGACCCAGAAGGGCTTCAGCAAACAACAACAAAAACAGCCCAGAACGGCTGCTGCGTGCCGATCGCCGTAGGGCAGGCTCGCGCCGTGACCCTCGGCTCCTGGCGTGGCAAGCTCTTCAGCACGGCCGCGGTCGCCCCGCTCCGGGCCCCTCGACCCTCGCAGATCGACGCGGCTCGAAAAATGGCGCAGAAAGATCAGGACTGGGGCCCCGGTCGCGACTTCTCGCTGTGGCGCAGCTGCTTCGCAACGCCGGATCTCAGGGGAGGACCCCAGTGCTGGTTTCTGACACCGCGTGGATCGTTCGACCTGGAACGACCGGCGGCTTCCCGATCCCCAGATCGGTCCAGATCCGGCGATTCTGGGCCGCTGGTGGCGTTCAGCCTCGAATGCTCGCGGCGGGGTCGCTGCCGCGTCGGCACGGCGCAGACCTGCGGCAGATGCATCGGCCAAGGCTGCCCAGACATGCGATGTACTGCTTTTCTCGATGCGTGAGCGGCTCCTGGAAGTCCCCACCCTGTCCCCAGGATCAGTTGTTCGTCCCGAGTCGTTTTCTGACGGTCCCAGGGCCCTGTGAGGGCCCCAGAGTCGGGGATGGACCCCGTTTAGCAAAACGTGGCTTAGCGCCAATGACCTCGGGCCCAAACCTGGCGGGTGCAAGCCTGGAGAATGACGGCCGCGGCGCCCTCTCGAGAACCAACAACAAACAAGTCACATAAAGACGTGTCAGGGCGGGGGCTCTGTCCACCCCCGACCAGAGGCCGAAAGCGGCGAAAATTTGAACGCCCAAAATGGGTATGGAAAAAATGGGCACAATGCCCTACAACAAATGATGTCCCAATACCAACAGCGGCCGCTGGGTAGGCGGCCTTCTGTCTCAGATGCACACAGGCCGCGGCGGGGCGGACAGAAAGACAGTCCCCCGGCAACTGCAGCGCGCACGTTGATGTGGAACACCCTTTCTGAGAGGTAGATCCACTCGTGGAAGTTACTGCACACAAAGCCCATCGTCGCGCCGAAAGGCACCAGCGTCATGTAACAGCTCAGTCACACCCAGCTTCACACTCAGTCAGTAACAGTTCAGTCACACCCAGTCGCAACCAGTACAGTTCAAGCAACTGCAGCCGAAGTCGAAATCGATCTTCTTGTCCAGCAAGAAGCGCCGGATCGAAGAGGCCCCCAACAAGCCCCAGGAGGCCCCCAAGAGGCCCGGAAGAGACCCCAGAACGGCCCCCCATGACGCTTCAAAGCTGCCTCCAAGAGGCTCCACCAGGCCCCAAACAGCTCTCAAGACGCCCACAGGAGTGCCCAAATAGTACCCAAGATTATGTTATTCCCATCGTACTTAAGGACCACATCCCAGAAATAATTTCGAGCACACTGAAAAGTGTCGAAAGAGTGTCGAAACAGTGTCGGACGAGTGCCTCCCAGGTCCCGACGCGTGAAAACCTTAGAGTTTCGGTGTTTTTTTCTGGTGTTCGAAATTGCTTCTGGTGATCAAGGTTAAAGTAGGTTGGAACATCATAAGCCCAAGAAGCTCACGATGCCTCAACCGTGGACTCTCCGCCTCTTCTGGGGGTCAGCGGAGTTGCGTAAGCCTCTTGAATCTATCTTCTTGTCCACCAAAGCGCTGGCTCGCCCCTTAGCAGTGACGCGCCAAAGTGCTGCAGTGACGAGAGAATGGATAAAACACGCAAGAGAAGCGGCCAGAGAGACAAGGGGAAGTAAGAGAGATATCATGTATGCTACGCCCTGCGTGGCATCAACAGACCTTCGCTTCTCTCCTGGCTTGCAGTGCGAGCGGAACAAGGGGATGCGGAACAAAACGCCCTCCCTGTCCAGCCAGGACCCATGGTCGGGGGCGCGCCTCCTCCTCCCCCTCCTCCTCCTCCTCCTCCTCCTCCTCCTCCTCCTCCTCCTCCTCCGCCTCCTCCTCCTCCTCGTCCTCCTTCTCCTCCTGGTCCCCGCACTTCTTCCCTCCACTCGAGCGTCCACCCGCTCGGTCCTTGCTCCTCTCGGAGTTCGAGCGGCCCACCTCCCCGGCGCCAGCCTCGAGGGAGGACGGGGAGGAGGGGGAGGAGGAGGAGGAGGAGGAGGAGGAGGAGGAGGAGGAGGGGGAGGAGGAGGAGAAGGAGGAGGAGGATTAGGTCCAGCATGTCCTCCTACCGGCGTATTTTGGACGACAAATGAAAATTATCCCAGTGCGACCCTACCTAGGAGTTGAAGCCCTTAGAAAAGCAGCATGAGTAGTAACAGCAAAGCTAAGCTAAAGCTAAGATAAGCTAAGCTAAGCTAAGCTAAGCTAAGCTAAGCTAAGCTAAGCTAAGCTAAGCTACGATGAGAAAAGCTAGGCTAAGCTTGGCTTAGTTATCCCAGTGCGACCCTAAGCTAAGCTAAGCTAGGCTAAGCTTAGTAAGCTTAGCTAAGCTAAGTGAAGCTAAGTTAAAGCTAAGCTGAAGCTAAGCTAAGCTAGGCTAGGTTAAGCTAAGCTGAGCTAAGCTAGGCTAAGTAAAGCTGAGCTAAAGCTAAGCTACGATGAGATAAGCTAAGCTAAGCTAAGCTAAGCTAAGCTAAGCTAAGCTAAGCTAAGCTAAGCTAAGCTAAGCTAAGCCAATATAAGCTAAGCTAAGCGAAGATGAGATAGTATAAGCTAAGCTAAGCTAGGCTAGGCTACGCTCAGCTATGCTAAGCTAAGCTTAGCTTAGCTGCGCTAAGCTAAGCTAAGATTAGCTCAGCTAAGCTAAGCTAAGCTAAGCTAAGCTAGGCTAAGTTAAGCTAGGGGAACCCAGGGGGCGCAACTGGAGCAACCGCGGGGCGGAGACTGGGGGAACCGCCCGGGGCGTTTTACACTGCCCGGCCCCTTTAAACAAACAGAGTAAGAACCCTCTAGGCAGAGCCTAGGTAGAGAAATAGTCGGAAAATAATGCAAAAAATCGTCCCCTAAGTACTGTTTGATTATTTTGGAATACTCCTCCTGTAGAGGGACAGGCCCGACTTAAGAGTAGGAGGAGGAGCGGCTCACCTCCCCGGCGCCAGCCTCGAGGGGGCTGGGGGCCGAGCGGGCGGCGAGGAGGAGGAGGAGGAGGAAGAGGAGGAGGAAGAGGAGGAGGAGGAGGAGGAGGGGGAGGAGTAGGAGGAGGAGGAGGAGGAGGAGGAGGAGGAGGAGGAGGAGGACTGGGGGAGGAGGGAGAGAGGGAGAGGAGGAGGAAGGAGGGAGGAAGGAGGAGGAAGGAGGGAAGAGAAGGAGGATGAGGAAGCGAGAGGAGTGAGGAGGAGGAGGAGGAGGGGAGGGCGCGATGGGGGGGGAGCAAAGGGGGGAGGAGGGCACCGAGCGCAGGGGGGGGAGGCCCGCGGGGGCAGAGAGGCGAGGAGCGCAGGGCCATCCGAGGCGCGGGGTAGGGCGAGGGGCAGGGCCGCCACCCCGGGCGCCCGAGCGCCCGCCCAAGTTGGTTCCTTTTTCGAAGCGGAGCTATTGTCTGAATGGCAGGCCCCATGTGCTGCTGGGAGGCAGAGTAGAGGGTGTGTTGCAGCGTCGTCGTTATTCCTCCTCCTC